CGGGTTCTTGATTGAAGGTTTGCCAGTAAGGTTTGACGCAACTGTTGTTTCAAACTTAAAATCAAACTGACCGTTTCACATAACCTGATAGAGGAATGAAGTTGTGCACAAAACTCCGGATCCAAAGGCTTACAATTGAATCACTAGTGAAATGCGCGAAGCCGTCTCAAGTTACAGTGAAAAACTGGTGAGTGAATTATCAACCGCACTGACAAGGCAGTAACCCAAACCACTAAAATGATTCATCCTGTTTACTTAGCTGCCTTATTCTCTCTGGTTATGATCACCTGTTGGCGCCCATTCCAAAAATTCTCTAAGGATGAGCATGTGATTGAGCATATGACTGAAATATGTACTTTGTTGCCCATTGAAATATATTCTTTTACACTCGATTTCGTTTTATTTATCATTGCTTTTCTGCAGCTGATGGCCTCAATTGAGCATATGTTACAGTGTCCCAGTAATTATTCACGGGATCCACGTCAATTCTTGTCAAAAACATGCTTTTTTGAAAAGTTTACTTACCTTCCGAATGTATTTTGTTGTAAGTCTTCATTGTTTAAGAAACACAAGCAGTTGACTGTCCCAAAAACTTGTTCGTGTCAGAAGTCCAAAATTAAACGAATGTAGCATATCATGGGATGAAGTTGTGAGGATAATTCTGTCTCTTATCAGTTATCTCTGATAAGTTTTGTGGGATGCACTAAGTTTGAATAAAAAATGATTTTGTGTGTCCAGCTAAAGGGAAAATCTTTGAGTTGCTGATTAATTAATGTGTCTCAGTTCTGGTCACGTGAACAACTCGCTTCTCTCATCCAAGGCACATCAATCAATCCGATGTTAAGCTTCCAACCGTAAATTCGCTGCTTGGCATAATTTGTTTCTCTAATTATATTCCATTAACGGCCCAAGGACTATCTCGCAAAAAGAAATCATCTCCTGCAAAACGAGAAAACACAGTAATGCAGGCTCGATTTGTTATTCCACTTATCCTTTGATAGGATAAAATTACATGTTTGTCCAATTGAGTCGGTCGGTTGTTTTGATCACTTTAATAAAATAACTTTATTCTGCAAGTGTAAACACGACAGATTCTGTGCTGCAGTATTGAACTTGCGCGGATTGATAGGATAAATATGGAGAGTAAAGACCTACCGGGACACATAGACACACATAGATAAACCATACACCGGACCAACGACAAGAAAGATCCTGACCAGAATACTTGGATATAAGCTTGCTACCAAAATGCGCGACCGTTTCTCCCATTTCCGTGAAGGTCACGGAGCCACCGCTTCAAATGGAGTGGAGTTCGCATACTGGCTCAAGCAAGAACGGAGAACAAATGTGAATTTATGAAAGCCTCGTACTTCACCAGAGAAACTCTTAGCAAGTATGCTGAATTTGATCCCATTTACTGGCCACTAACAGTAAAGAAAAAACCAGGACAACGGAGCTCAAAACTGCACAAAACATCACATAAGAAACTCATAGATTAATCAGGATAGCAGGATTTGAGCAGACAAGTTCGTGTGGTTGGGAGATTTGCCAAGCTAAGAAATCAAAGTAGCAAATTAACTGACTGACGCAGGGATACGGGCAGTTAAGATGATGATAGTACGGCGGTGTAACAAATCAATGATTTCTCAGAAAATCAGACCACAAGAAATGGCAAGTTGAAAATAGGCTAACCGGAACAGGGAAACTACCAAAATTAGAAAGGACTGGAATAACCAGTTGACTCAACAGGCGGACCAATTACTTCACAAAAGTGCTGTCTCTAAATGGGCCTATAACGTTATGAGATAACAGATCATCTTGAAATGTTATATAAGCATACGCAAGCAAATAGAAAGCACGCACCCAACTGCCAACTGATAATCTCCACGTAAGGTGGCCAGACGTTTGAAAGTCCGCCAGACTCAGAAAATAGATTATCAGCCAACTGATCAAAAATCAATCAAAAATAATGTTGTATTGAAGATTCAGATTGCGCTTGGAAGCATATTTGGTTGCTTAACGTAGAGATATTCAGGGGCACTGGCAGCGGTGCATTGCTTACAAATAAAAATAATTGTTCGACATAATACTGTATTGCAAAATTAAACAAAGTTCTTTGTATTGGAGAAGTTCACCAGGTTTCCAATGTCAAGATAACCTTCCATTCTGGTTGATATCCGCGGCGAAGAGAAGTCTAGAAAAGACGCCCTTGTCTGTACAATCTTCTACTGCAGACTGTTAATAGCATTTTCATGCCACCAACTCTGGATCCTCCTGTAATCGCGCATACAGTTTAAACAAACATTTTGGCCTTTAACCTTCAATTCAACCGCATCCCCAGTTTTCTCCGAATCATTCTAAAGGAAAATTTGGCACCGGCAGTAATGATCAAATGCAACCTCATCCTACCAGAAGTCACGGAATCCCGATGGTCACTTTTTGTTGCGCATTCGTCATGGTGGTGTGTACGTGGTCTCACCTTTTGTAAACAAGACTGAAGTTGGACTCCTTTCGATCAGTGTTACGTGTTTTTCGACTGTAAAGTCCAATTTTTCAACGTCACGTCTGGCCGTCACGTACTGTTTGTTAAAAGGGAGAAGCAAATTTGGGGAAGCCAAGCCATTCAACTCTGAGTCTGTTTTTGTCTACTTTTGTTTTATTCACACAGAAACGTCAGACCATCACTTGACCAAAACAAAAGGCTTGGCCTTACACATAAAAGTGGTTTTAAGCATTCAGTGTGCCAATGGATTTTCGATTCAAGAGAAAAGAGGGATAACCAGAAAATTTCAGCAAAGCAAACTTTTTCAAAGAAATACGAAAATATTATCATTAAAGAGATATTAGGAAACTGTTAATCCATCCGGTTTCAGTTTAACAACGAAGTGGCTTCCCGCGACCCTTTTGGAATAAAAATGGAATGCGTGACGGATCTAAACTTATACGCTCTAGTCATCCTGTATAGTTTATGGTTGAACGCACGAGAAAATAATGGTTTATTGTGTCCATTTGCACAGCATCCTTCTGCCAAAAATGCCAAACTGGGTTTGAAGCAATAATGGTTAGTTGGAAAAAAATTGTATGACGTCCAGCCGCTTTCGCAACCAATTGGTTAACTACCGAGTATTCTATAATGATCACGCACTCCGTATTCAAGAAACAACACAGCATTTTCAGATTAAGTCAACCTTACCCGGTTGCTTTGATTGACATAGCTTGCGCAAACGTTCTCTGTTTAGTGGTCTCAGTAATGCTTGCCATATCCTCCCATTTTAACGATCTTCCCAGAGAGCAAATTTCTCTAATTATTTTATAGTTCATCCGTTCAGTGACGTCACTCTCGCTGGTGCGTTAATTTTTGAGATAGTTTGCCTTAGATACGAAGAAGCTGAGTTGAAACGGCCGACGAATATTTTTTTGATCGACTGACGACTGCGCTTACAGGCAGCCCATTATCGATGACGCTTTATGTACCAGAAATGCATTTTTCAATTGAACCACAGTCCGTAAAATGTCTGCGCTCTACTGTACAAAAGTTCATACCAAAATATCCTGAACAGATGTACTGTTAATCGGAAGCCTTCTCTTAGCAACCGTTTGTCAAAGCAGCTTTTAACCTGATATAAAGTGATAAACAGTTTTAAGGTGTGGATCAAGGCGTCATGGGCAACGCCCAGCTATATTCTAATCTTCTTAATTAGCGATGTTACTGAACATCCCCACATTTGTAAGCAAGAGAGTTTTAATCAGGTGCATGTGAGTGAACTAAACTATCAGAGCAATAATGAATACCTGCCTTTTTTGTGAATACGCACAATACCTAGAAAAACCATTTACCACCGAATTACCAAGTCTTCCTAAAGCCGAAGTTGCCAATAAACAATTTGTTTGCCCCGTCATGTTTGGATGAAGCCTGTAACATGCAGATACGTACAGAGAGATTCAAAGCATCAACCGCATCTAAATGAGGTTTGATTCTTTGATAACCGAACTCGTCTGCAATTCAGTTTGTTTTTCACGGAAGAGTTAACCGAATCTTCCGTTTATGATGTTTTCAACTAAATGTGCTGCAAGAAGACCACCTCATGTTTCAAAAGGCAAAATATTTGAGATATCATAATATATTTTCATAAAAAACTACTCACAAGGTTCCGAAAAAACCCCTCGACAGCCGACGACCAGTTTTGCTCTTCTTTGAGCTCATCAGGTAGGCGTATCCCAGGAACTTATGTTCTACTTGGGCCCAAAGTTGACGGTCCCATTTGGATTCAAGTAAGGTCAGCAAAAACTCGCGAACTTTGCCTACCTGATGAGCTCCAATACTGGTCGTGGGCTGTCGAAGAGTTGGTTAAATTCTTCTTTCTAGCAACAAGTACCACTTAACACTTTTATTAGTTTTGTCATTATGCCTCAGCCTTTCACGTTACGTCATCCGATATACTGTGGAGATGTTTTGTATGTAAAGCTGTTTTTTAGAAAGAACATAAAGAAGTGGCCCAAAGAAGATGCTAGGAAGCAAAAGATGTTGGTAGTTACAAACCTGATGTTTTATCTTGGTTATCCGGCTTCCAATCACAGATGGGACTGTCCTCTTTCCATTTCAACCACAAAAATATAAGCACGCATTTATGAGCACCGTACTGTCTTTATGGAGATAATTTTTGCTCTTCGCTCCAAATGAAATGCTCATTGTACTCCTTCACTTCCCACCTCAAGATGACGTTAGTGGAGAAAGATCTGTGTTGTACTGATAAGCTTACACGTCAGCGCTGTTGGTTCTTATCAGGTAATATCATACCCGAACAGTTAGTATCCGAATGTACAACCGCTTCCCCAAGCTGTAGCGAAAAATGAATGCCCTGATCGGTTATTTTCAATTTTAACCCTATTTTCTGATGGCCAAGTCCCACAAGTTTACTCACAATTGTTTTAATAATAAGGCATATGATGCTTCATGAAAAGCACCGACGATTGACATTATTTGAATTTTTTCTCTCCAGAGGGGCTGGGTATACGACAAATCCCGAAAAATGGTGCGGCAAGTTACCAAGAGCGAAACAATATGATGCGTTGGACGAAGCAAGAGATTTATTTTCTTTCGTTTCTGACAAAGGCCAAAGTGCTGACACACTTTTGCGCTTGCTGGAGTACAAACAACTTTCTGATCCTGAACGGCCTAAACTTTACTGGTCCCCAGATTCTTCAGAGAATCTGGATCTATTCACCGAAGGCTTGGCGTCTCCAGATGATTTCCGCCAAACGGTTGCTGCAAAACCGGACAAGCTATCGGAAGACCACGATAAAGAGCTTTCTCAACACAGCATAGAAAACAGTGCCGTGTATCACAATGACGATTTCACGCCCTCGATGCACTCTGAAGTTTTCAGTTTCCTCAAACCCTTATATTCCTCTAACGGTAAGTCAAAATCGTCAAAATCACTTTTGCTGCGCCTGTCGCTGACAAACCCCTTATCTACCTGTTATTGTGTTGAGGCCGTTTTCAAAGAGCTGATTAGGACAAATCGTCTGTCCATGAATGGCTTTATTTCTTACCAAGATCTGATGGGTAAGCTGATAGGACTTCGTATTGTAAATGAAGCTAGCCTACGCTGAAAAACGCAAAGCGCAGTAGATAATTTTCATGATTATTAGGAATCATCGGGATTATGCATCCCACGGAACTTCTGAGAGTCTCGAACTTGCGACCTCCCGGCTAGAAGTTTGAACTATTAACCTTTAGACCACGAGATGCTGATCAGAAGTGTGATTGACCCACATTTTGACAGGATATAACGCTACTCATTGGTGAGTCACAGAATCCACACCACATGGTCATAGATGTTTTGCTCCTCAATTGACAAGTTCTCAGATGGAACTTACTCTTATCTTGGGAAATTGTTCTTCCTCTGAGCTACTTATAGATTGCTTGAGAGTTATCAAATCTCCTCCAATTAAGCTAAAGTCTGAGGGAGGCAGTGGCATTCAAACTGATGGCAGTAATTCGTTGCAGAAATGGGATTAGATGTGCAAATTATCCCAATTTTGTGAGTAGTATGAGCAACCGCAACTCATAATTGAACTACCACAGTGTCACTTTTAAAAACAGTACGTTTTTACGACTGATGTTCAACTTTCTTGACATCGGTTTCCGCGTGTGTCTTGATAAGTTGATAAAGAGGGATTCACAAGAAAATTGCTTATTTCAAATTTATTCCTTTAGGGTAGTGAGATGTCCCACGGAAACTGTGGGCAGTCGTAAATGTGGAACCCCAACCGTTCCTACTCTTATCCATGTTTTGAATATTGACTTCCCTTCCCCTTTCTTAGGCAAACCTATGTTATTTTAAACTCTGTTTGCTTGTCAGTCGTTTTACGATTCTTGCGATTGACTTTATTCCAAAACGAGGCTCTTTTATCGAAAAAAGTCAGTGCTTAAAAGATTCATCCGTAGACTGTGAGCGGGCGTCCACTTGATAATAACTTCAATGGCAGTCTACCCCTACATGTTTGACCCTCGACAGTTTTATAAAACAAGGTCTCAGTTGTCATCCAGTGGCTCTGTTCGTCATCATCCCACTACCTAGATCAATCGCAGAATATACACATGTGCATTACAATAAGAGTATGCGATGAATGCTATTTGTTTAAAATACTACTGAGAAGTGTGCATTATACAGTCAGTGAATACAGTTCAGTCTTGCGTCCAGAGACCTTAAACCTCGGGATGTGAGATAACTTTTCGTTGGGTCATTCATCTTGGTGGAGGCGAGTCGCAAGTTGCAGTAAGTCAATATTAATAATTCCAGCGACTGATCATTTAATAGCGGGGGTCATTACATTGAGAGCTTATGAAATAACTGTACTGCGATGTTAACATAAATGCTCAATGATACTGGTTAATGTCCTCTTTCGGATGCAAATGCAGTCTGAAATTGGTATATGCCAAGCAAATTAAAACACCATCTGGATGCAATTACTGCAGATTCCCTTCATCTGAATGGATTAATTTACATTTGATAGCTGGAATAGCATAGCGGGACGGGGTAATGCAACTAGTCAAGCGAGATAAGTGACAAGTTGAGATTTTTGAACGAGATGACTTTTAATAGGTATACGATTGAATGTCCTATCGCAAGTAGGCCAGTGCTCACGCAACACGCTTTGGTATGATACTTGTTAACTACGATAAGCACCAAATTCCCGTCTATATTGGTCTTATCGTCTGTACTTCCACAGCGGCACTATGAATTGCAGATAGAATTAGTGAACAAAGTCCTTGCCGACCATGTATTCTCTTTCATTTGTTGGTATTCTGGGATGTAGTTAACCTTTTGGTACAAAGCCAGATGTAGATTGGCTACATTTTCTAACATTTTTCAGGAATAATTCGACGAAAACTCTGTTTGGCTAACCTGAGTTAAATTTCTTTTCCGATTCTCCCCACCTCTTAGTCTACCATTATCGACCTACCTGAAAAATACGGGCATTTAAAAATATTCATAGATATGCACAAGACAAACCAAGCTGCACATCTTTCTTGGAACATCTGCATCTATTCACCTTCAAGTTTCAGGCACGCGATAAAACCAAAATTTTAGGGCTTACGAGTTTCAACCTTTCCGGAGATTTGTGAGATACCAAACACTGACGGTCGCCACTGAGGGTAAAACTTCTGTAAATTAATTTGCGACGCCGAATGACTTCACTTGGGGGATAAGATTCTGGTTAAAAAACTTCCCAAAATCTCTTTATATCCTTAATAAATTCTGCGGGTTTCAACTGATTTAATTTTCTAAAAGTCGCACTGTAAAAGTGAACCGGAAACCGATTATTTACAACGTGGGCAAAATACTTTGTTATACTTTGAAACAAAACAATCTGAAGCGGAGAAGGGTTTATAATTAATTTGACAAGTTTTTATTTCAAATTTTATTTTTGCACAGGTCGCTAAACGTATTGCAATCCTCCCTGAAAATTCTTCACTACAGGGACCTTAAGTTTTGATTAATTACTACATTTAAATTCATCCTGCATTCAACCTACAGACGACAAAGCATTTTTCGGGCAATTTGCTATACTCAGAATAAAATATAAGTCTGAAACAATAACCTTTTTAAAATCACCCAAACACGCTCATTGGCTTTCCAGATAACATCGGGCGTAAATAGAATGTCACAAATACATAGCTACTGGAGGCAAGTTCATAAAACTATTTCTTGCTCAAAACGCCACCCATCTTGCATTTTCTACAGCCCCTTTATTCCACGTCTTGTAAACTCATCTTCACTACAGTTGTATGAATCCAGTTGCTGAGTTCTCAATTAAAGGGATTGAATTCTAATATTGGAAACAAAATTTTACGGTGGTACACGTTCTAGTCTGAGCATAAGAAAAATGACAGCCAGCAGTGCTTTCACCGGTAGTTTTGCATCCAAAGCTATTGTCCTTGATGAATCCTAGTTTGAGTTAAAGGAGAGGCTAAATTGAGACGTGCTTGTGTAACACAGTAAATTACATATTTACGGTTCTCATTGCGGTATATGAGCGGCAGAAACCTTTGGAAGATCTGTGAATCAACAGAGTTTGCACACACGAGCGTAGTTTGCGACCTACAAACGGTTCGTGTAGGGTCAAATTTTGTTTCGTTCATGCGGAGGCGTTAAGAAAATTTCTATCACACCTAAACCTTGATGTCCTAGAGACTATTTTGTACAAGGGCCCCGATTTTTTATTGCACATATGTAGATTGTAGAGGAAGGCGGAAGAGATGGTTTAGGACTCCTGAAAATGACAAAATCCTACCCAAAACATACGTGAAATATCACAAAAACCATGGTAGTCTGTGGCGGACGTTAATTCAGCTGCTAAATGACTGAACGTGGCATGAGTTAGGGAAGACAATAACAAACAGTTGCAAAGCGAGGATGTTCTGTGAAAAAGGAAGAGTAAAAACAGAACAGTTTTAGGACTTGAAGTGGTATCGTAATATGGGTGGTTGGATAGGAAAAGAATGGTTGTTCCCAAAAACGTCTGGAGGAATCAAATAAAGTCTGTTTCTGTCATCTCAAACCCACCGTATGCAGTTGTTCCACTGGTGCCAGCCAATTACGAATATACAAAGAAATGGAGCTCTACATTTATGGAGTTAACATCGGCTATCTATTTCGACAAACTGTTTACGTGTTGCCGCAAAATAAAATTTCGGTTGACCAAACAAGGCTGAGTTCCTAGTACATGGATCTGTTTTTGTTATCTCAACTGATGAACAGGAGTAGGTTTATAGGGGTAAGAGCAACATACATTACAGCGAAATTACAGGACTACATTTGTTTTGCACGATCCGGCAAAAATAAGGCCCATAAACGAGCCTGTCCAACGAACCGAGGCTACCGAAGCCAGCTCTAGTCGATGCGGGAGGTTAACTTTTGAGCTGTCGTATTCACATATTCGACATCTAAATGTTCGCCCCACGGCCGAAAAGTTTCCATAATTCGGTGATTTCCTCAGGTGATTTTGAACCGTCACTGTTGTTAGTATCATATTCGGCAATAATGGGCTTTGCATACAGACCGGACAAAGAAAAGCTTGGCTTTAACCAGTTAGTGCTGGCGTGGAGTATCCTCCTAGATTTCTAGATTACCAAGCCGACAGACGTAAAGCGCCATCAGGTTGTGAGCGCGTAGAGGTACGGAATGGGATAAGTAACTGTGACTATTGTCGTTGTAGGCCACAAGAGGATATGTGAACAAGATGACGCGGGGGCCTTAGCCTCGCGAAATATAAAACTTGACTAAGGCCCAACCTTGGGAATGCGGTCGACCGGTTCGGACCTTCACCACATTCAGACCGGCGAAATAAACTTTTGTCTTTGCGGTTTGATATTATGGGTCCAAAAAATGATTTTCTCTTTATTGAGACGCTCTCTTGAGATACGCATGCAGTATTTTGTTTCACGAATCACACTGCGGCCATGAATAACATAGTGTTTGTTTATTTAACACATACCAGACTATATATGCTGCAAACGTTTATTGTGTTGTGCGCTCATACACAACAGCTGGTAAAGTACCGTAATTTGTGAAGTCCTCAGGCTAAATTCTTCAAAACTGAAACATTTTGACGAGATTTTAAGAGGTTCACCGTGCTTTACACGTTTTCTGCCGATTTTCCGCTCCACATTGTGGGTCGAACCCGAGTAAAATGGTATATCCCATATATTTCGCTGGTTCACAGGCTTTTTTTTAGAAACACCTAGTCACAATGAAAACCGTATGAAAGACTACGCCCAGCATCTAGTTTAAGGACTCGGACTAATAGAAACAATTCTTTCAGTACACCCGAGTGTGCTCTGGAAAAACTTTGCCTCATACAAAGAAGATACCTTTAGCCTGTTTGAACGAAATTGAAGGAGATGAG